GCTTGCTTGCTACTGCTGCTGCCATCACTGCTTGCTTGCTACTGCTGCTGCCGTCACTGCTTGCTTGCTACTGCTGCTGCCATCACTGCTTGCTTGCTACTGCTGCTGCCGTCACTGCTTGCTTGCTACTGCTGCTGCCATCACTGCTTGCTTTCTACTGCTGCTGCCGTCACTGCTTGCTTTCTACTGCTGCTGCCATCACTGCTTGCTTTCTACTGCTGCTGCCATCACTGCTTGCTTTCTACTGCTGCTGCCGTCACTGCTTGCTTGCTACTGCTGCTGCCTTCACTGCTTGCTTGCTACTGCTGCTGCCATCACTGCTTGCTTGCTACTGCTGCTGCCATCACTGCTCGTTTGCTACTGCTGCTGCCGTCACTGCTTGCTTGTACTGCTGCTGCCATCACTGCTTGCTTTCTACTGCTGCTGCCATCACTGCTTGCTTGCTACTGCTGCTGCCATCACTGCTTGCTTTCTACTGCTGCTGCCGTCACTGCTTGCTGCAGCTCTGATGTCACTGCTTGCTACTGCTTCCCTGCTGTTGCTGCCGATGGTGTTGCTTGTGCTGCTGCTGCTCGCTGCTTTGCAGCCCCCGCGCCTTCTCCCCAATCATCCAGTCCTCCGCCTCGTTCCTTCCCCCCCTCCCTCGCCCCTTTGTGTCCGCCGCAGGTCGCGTGGGCATTCTGGGGAGGAACCTGGCTAGGACTTTCACGCAGCCTGGCTGCTGCAATCGTCCCTGCTGGTCAACACACCCAGCGCCACAAGTGCTGCAGAAGCAACAGTAGAAGAAACACCAGCACAGCAAGGAAAAGCAGCAACAGCAGCCCGAAGGGTTTATTTGGCACCGGGGCTGAAATTCACAATGTTTTGTCTCCAGTGCTTTCGCACGCTGTACCGTACAAGAAACTGATACAAGAGGATGTTATGAGAAGAAATGAAACACGCTGAACCTATCTTGATCGCTGGGATGGCACGAATGGTTCAGAAGCACCAGACAAGCACGACCACCAGTGTTGTATAGTCCTCACAACCATTTCCGTGATGCTCAAGGCATCCTTGTCTGCAATAGTCGAGAGGCGGGAGACAGACATCAACGTCACACCTTAGTCAGACTACACCGTTCATCACCACTCGTCACCACTCACGGGCACTCAGCACCACCAATGACCACACACAACAGAACAGCCCAGCACCCACCGCTCACTGCCGCTCTGAACCACTCTGCAGCACTTGGCACCGCTCAGATCCGCTCATCACCACTCGACACCTCTCTCTGTTGCTCATCACCACTAGTCACCGCTCATCACCACTCACGGGCGCTCAGCACCACCAATGACCGCACACAAAGGCCCAACACCTCTCACTGCCGTTCTGAACCGCGCTGCAGAACTCCGCACCGCTCGGAGCCGCTCATCACCACTCGGCACCTCTCTGAGAAGCTCGTCACTGTTCGTCACCGCTCGTCACCACTCACGGGCGCTCAGCACCACCAATGACCGCACACAATGGCCCAGCACCGCTCACTGCCGCTCTGTACCACTCTACAGCACTCGGCACGCCTCAGAGCCGCTCATCACCACTGGACACCTCTCTTAGTCGCTCATCACCCCTCGTCACCGCTCGTCACCACTCACGGGCGCTCAGCACCACCATGACCGCACACAAAGGCCCAATACTTCTCATTGCCGCTCTGAACCTTGTTGCAGTACTCGGCACCGCTCAGAGCCGCTCATAACCACTCGGCACCTCTCTGAGTGGCTCATCACTTCTCGTCACCGCTCACGGGCGCTCAGCACCACCAATCATCGCACACAACGACCCATCACCACTCACTGCTGCTCTGAACTGCTCTGCAGCACTCGGCACCGCTCAGAGCAGCTCATCACCACTTGGCACCTCTCAGAGTGGCTCATCACTACTCCTCACCACCCACGGGCGCTCAGCACCAGCAATGACCGCACACAACGGCCCAGCACCGCTCACTGCTGCTCTGAACCGCTCTGCAGCACTCTGCACCACTCACAGCCGCTCATCACCACTCGGCACCGCTCAAAGCCGCTCATCACCACTCCGCACCTCTCTGAGCCGCTCATCACCACTCGTCACAGCTCGTCACCACTCACCGGCACTCAGCACCACCAATGACCACACACAACAGCTCAGCCCAGCACCCACCGCTCACTGCCGCTCTGAACCACTCTGCAGCACTTGGCACCGCTCAGATCCGCTCATCACCACTCGACACCTCTCTCTGTTGCTCATCACCACTAGTCACCGCTCATCACCACTCACGGGCGCTCAGCACCACCAATGACCGCACACAAAGGCCCAACACCTCTCACTGCCGTTCTGAACCGCGCTGCAGAACTCCGCACCGCTCGGAGCCGCTCATCACCACTCGGCACCTCTCTGAGAAGCTCGTCACTGTTCGTCACCGCTCGTCACCACTCACGGGCGCTCAGCACCACCAATGACCGCACACAATGGCCCAGCACCGCTCACTGCCGCTCTGTACCACTCTACAGCACTCGGCACGCCTCAGAGCCGCTCATCACCACTGGACACCTCTCTTAGTCGCTCATCACCCCTCGTCACCGCTCGTCACCACTCACGGGCGCTCAGCACCACCATGACCGCACACAAAGGCCCAATACTTCTCATTGCCGCTCTGAACCTTGTTGCAGTACTCGGCACCGCTCAGAGCCGCTCATAACCACTCGGCACCTCTCTGAGTGGCTCATCACTTCTCGTCACCGCTCACGGGCGCTCAGCACCACCAATCATCGCACACAACGACCCATCACCACTCACTGCTGCTCTGAACTGCTCTGCAGCACTCGGCACCGCTCAGAGCAGCTCATCACCACTTGGCACCTCTCAGAGTGGCTCATCACTACTCCTCACCACCCACGGGCGCTCAGCACCAGCAATGACCGCACACAACGGCCCAGCACCGCTCACTGCTGCTCTGAACCGCTCTGCAGCACTCTGCACCACTCACAGCCGCTCATCACCACTCGGCACCGCTCAAAGCCGCTCATCACCACTCCGCACCTCTCTGAGCCGCTCATCACCACTCGTCACAGCTCAGCGCTGCTCACTGCCACTCTGAATATCCGAGAGCCACTCACAGCCACTCGACACCGCTCCCAACCTAATCAGCGCTCATCACCGCGTGTCACCGCTCACGGGCACTCAGCACCACCAATGACCGCACACAACGGACCAGCATTGCACTCAACCTCCTCCTCCTCCTCCTCCTCCTCATCCTCCTCCTCCTCCTCCTCCTCCTCCTCCTCCTCCTCCTCCTCCTCCTCCTCCTCCTCCTCCTCCTCCTCCTCCTCCTCCCCCGCCTATACTCATGTTGGTTTTTCCTACCACTGCTGAGCATTTTCTGTTGCTGCTCGATGGTGACGCGGATGCTCACAACTGTCGCTTGCTGCTTGTGCTTGTGCTGGTGTTTCCTACTGCTGCTCATCATTTTCTGTTGCTGCTCGATGGTGCTGCGGATGCTCACAACTACCGTTTGCTGCTAGTGCTCGTGATGGTGTTTCCTACTGCTGCTGAGCATTTCCTGTTGCTGCTCGATGGTGATGCGGATGCTCACAACTACCGTTTGCTTCTTGTGCTCGTGATGGTGTTTCCTACTGCTGCTGAGCATTTCCTGTTGCTGCTCGATGGTGATGTGGATGCTCACAACTACCGTTTGCTGCTTGTGCTTGTGCGGGTGTGTCCTACTGCTGCTGAGCATTTTCTGTTGCTGCTCGATGGTGAGGCGAATGCTCACAACTACCGTTTGCTGCTTGTGCTCGTGATGGTGTTTCCTACTGCAGCTGAGCATTTCCTGTTGCTGCTCGATGGTGATGCGGATGCTCACAACTACCGTTTGCTGCTTGTGCTCATGATGATGTTTCCTACTGCTGCTGAGCGTTTCCTGTTGCTGCCCGATGGTGGTGTTGATGCTCACTACTACAGTTTGCTGCTTGTGCTTGTGCTGGTGTTTTCTACTGCTGCTGCGCATTTCCTGTTGCTGCTCGATGGTGAGGCGGATGCTCACAACTACCGTTTGCTGCTTGTGCTCGTGCTGGTGTGTCCTACTGCTGCCGATCATTTCTTGTTGCTGCTCAATGATGAGGCGGATGCTCGCTAGTACCGTTTGCTGCTTGTGCTCGTGCTGGTGTGTCCTACTTCTGCTGAGCATTTTCCGTTACTGCTCGATGGTGAGGCAGATGCTCACAACTACCATTTGCTGCTTGTGCTCGTGCTGGTGTATCATACTGCTGCTGAGCGTTTTCTCTTGCTGCTCGATGGTGAGGCGGATGCTCACTACCACAGTTTGCTGCTTGTGCTCGTGCTGGTGTGTCCTACTACTGATGAGCATTTTCTGTTGCTACTCGATGGTGAGGCGGATGCTCACAACCGCCGCTTGCTGCTTGTGCGCGTGATGGTGCTCCTGAGCATTTCCTGTTGCTGCTCGATGGTGAGGCGGAAGCTCACTACTACAGTTTGCTGCTTGTGCTCGTGTTGGTGATTCCTACTTCTGCTGAGCATTTTTTGTTGCTGCTCGATAGTGAGGCGGGTGCTCACAACTGCCGTTTGCTGCTTGTGCTCGTGCTGATGTTTCCTACTACTGCTGAGCATTTCATGTTGCTGCTCGATGGTGAAGCGGATGCTCACAACTACAGTTTGTTGCTTGGCTCATGCTGGTGTTTCCTACTGCTGCTGCGCATTTCCTGTTGCTGCTCGATGGTGAGGCGGATGCTCACTACTACTGTTTGCTGCTTGTGCTCGTGCTGGTGTGTCCTACTTCTGCTTAGTATTTTCTGCTGCTGCTCGACGGTGAGGCGGATGCTCACAATTACCGTTTGCTGCTTGTGCTCGTGCTGGTGTGTCCTACTGCTGCATAGCATTTCCTCTTGCTGCTCGATGGTGAGGAGGATGCTCACTACCACAGTTTGCTGCTTGTGCTCGTGCTGGTGTGTCCTACTTCTATTGAGCATTTCCTACTTACTGTTTGCTGCTTGTGCTTGTGTTTCCTCCTCCTCCTCCTCCTCCTCCTCCTCCTCCTCCTCCTCCTCCTCCTCCTCCTCCTCCTCCTCCTCCTCCTCTTGTTCCTCCTCCTCCTCCTGTTCCTCCTCCTCCTCCTTTTCCTCCTCCTCCTCCTCCTCCTCCTCCTCCTCCTCCTCCTCCTCCTCCTCCTCCTCCTCCTCCTCCTCCTCCTCCTCCTCCTCCTCCTCCTCCTCCTCCTCCTCCTCCTCCTCTTGCTCCTCCTGCTCCTCCTGCTCCTCCTCCTCCTCCTCCTCCTCCTCCTCCTCCTCCTCCTCCTCCTCCTCCTCCTCCTCCTCCTCCTCCTCCTCCTCCTCGTCATCGTCCTCGTCCTCGTCCTCCACGTCCTCCTCGTCCTCGTCCTCATCCTCCTTGTCGTCCTCGTCGTCGCCCTCCTCCTCGTCCGCCCCTGCTCCTCCTCCTCGTCGTCGTCGTCCTCCTCCTCCTCCTTGCCCTCCTCGTCGTCCTCGTCGTCGTATCGATTATCGTATTGATAATATTGACATGAATTACACATTTATTGCGTTTTTGTTTAGTATGCATCGTGTGATTTATACGTCCTCACGCATATTTGCTTGCGATTCCCGTTTACGCAACTTCTACTGCCATTATGTGTGTCCTTTGTTTATCTTCTCGTATGCCCATTTAACAATTCACATTCGAATACAAACATCTATTGATGCTAGTTGAGTAGCAAAAGAAATATATACACTATGTAAATTTGGATTCGTCGGAACCGCGCTGTATATTGGAACCAACCTCACCGTAATACTATCATTCTTGACCTGTTTCACCGCGCGATCCGTGCGCTGGACAAGGCTTTGAATTTTCATTGGTGGGTGTTTTTTTTTTCTTGACCTGTTCCACCACGACAAGCGCGCTGGAACAGGCTTTGAAACCCATTGGAGATGTGGGTGTATTTCTCTTTTGTTTTTTTTTTTCCATTTCGGTTTGGGTTTGGATACCTTTCACACAACCTACAGTAAAATCGAAGAGATTTTACACTAGTAGGAGTGGTCAGAATACACCCTTTATGGTTCGATATGTTCCTACTTTTGTTTCTACTGCCCACAATGTTACAAAACATTGTGTGGGTGGGGTTGGGTAGCTACCCGTCCCATCCATCCCGCTGCTGCCTCAGCCCAAACCGTCTTCGGGTCTACTCGAACCTTCTTCCCTCATACCTACTATGCAGCTAGAATTACAGTCACAGCCACCTAATCCGCTGCTGTGTCATTCGCTAAGGTCCTAGTCGCGTGTTTGTTCGTGCGCCTCGCGGTCGTTAGATAGTCGTCGTCCTGCTCGCCTCGCGCTGCACCCTGCGCAGCGCTTTCGTTTAGCCGTCCCGCGCTTTTTCTCATTAGCGAATATCGCGTTTGATGTCCGTTTAGTTTGCAGCATGATGCGATGTCATGTCACACGGGTCGCTGCGCGGAGCGAACGCACGTGCGCGCGAGGTGGCTCGGTCGGACCTCACCGTCGAACGGTCGCGAAATTGTCGAGCAACGCACGTTTTTACGTTTCTAAGTCCCTCAAACAGGTCGAGAGACGACTGCAGAGACGAGTGCATAGACTGCGTTTCTTCTCTCACCACGGCCGCTCCTTCCTTGCCTCTCTCATTGTCATCGACCTCGTCCTAGTAGTCCTCGCCACCACCGATTACGCCCTGCTCGCTTCTATCGAACAGCAGCGCTGATCTCTCTTTCAAACTATCAGCACCTACTCGCTGTGTTAGAATGAAATCGATCTCCCACAGAATAGTTGGAATCAGAGGTGTTTCTTTCTCTGCTGCCAGACTGCGTTTCTTCTCACCTTGTTCGTTCCACCCTTGCTCGTTCCGCACTTGCTCGTTCCACCCTTGCTCGTTCCGCCCTTGCTCGTTCCCCACTTGCTCGTTCCACCCTTGCTCGTTCCGCACTTGCTCGTTCCACACTTGCTCGTTCCGCCCTTGCTCGTTCCCCACTTGCTCGTTCCGCCCTTGCTCGTTCCGCACTTGCTCGTTCCGCCCTTGCTCGTTCCGCACTTGCTCGTTCCACTTCCGTCATTCTGCCCTTGTTCGTTCCTCCGCCCTTTCTCCTCGTTCCGCCCTCCCCCTCGTTGCGCCCTTCCTCCTTGTTGCGCCCTTCCTCCTCGTTGCGCCCTTCCTCCTCGTTGCGCCCTTCCTCCTCGTTCCGCCCTCCTCCTCGTTCCGCCCTCCGCCAGCCCCTATGCTAAAACCTCTCCTTCCCTCCGTTCACCTCCTCTCCTCGGAAAGGTTGGGGCAGACTCGGCGCGCCCTGGGCAGATTTTTGAGGCACCTCATAAAGGGTTGGGGCAGACTTGGAGCGCTCTGGGCAGACCTGTTGAGGCCAGTGAGGTGAGGCCCCTCGCGCTCGCTCCTATTGCTCCTCACTCACTCACGTGCTCTGCTCCCCTCCACTCACCTGTGCTGCACCCTAAACCTCTGCCATGGTTTCTAAACCATCCGCCATGCTGTCACACCTGCCATCCCTCCCCACCCCGCCTTGTGCAGAAAGGTCTTCTCTCCTTTCTGCGGGGCACCGTGAAGAGACCTTCTCACCCCGCCAAGACACGAGACATACTTACAAGTAGGATATTTATTAGGACATGCACCTTGCTCTTGTTTGTATGGTACTTGTGCGTGTGTCGATATAAGAGTTGCGGGGTGGGTTTGGGCTAGGCACGGGGTAGGTTTGGGCTAGCCTTGGCCCCTACAAGCCTGGTTACTGTTCCCGCTGCCCGGTTACAGTTCATGCCGCCCGTCACTGTTCATGCCGCCCGTCACTGTTCATGCCGCCCGTCACTGTTGATGCCGCCCGTCACTGGTCGTGCCGCCCGTCACTGGTCGTACCGCCCGTCACTGGTCGTGCCGCCCGTCACTGGTCGTGCCGCCCGTCACTGGTCGTGCCGCCCGTCACTGGTCGTGCCGCCCGTCACTGGTCGTGCCGCCCGTCACTGTTCGTGCCGCCCGTCACTGCTCGTGCCGCCCGTCACTGCTCGTGCCGCCCGTCTCTGCTCGTGCCGCCCGTCTCTGCTCGTGCCGCCCGTCACTGCTCGTGCCGCCCGGTCACTGCTCCTGCCGCCCGGTCACTGCTCCTGCCGCCCGTCACTGCTCCTGCCGCCCCGTTACTGTTCATGCCGCCCGATTACCATGCCATGCCATGTCCTCGTGCTCGTTTCCGCCCTTGCTCGTTTCTGCCCTTGCTCGTTTCTGCCGACAGTGACGGGCGCAGCTGGGCAACGGTGCGGCGAGGCTAAGGCGAAGCCAGTGAGGCACGAGGTGAGACAACGGTCCCCACTCTCCTGGCCCCCTTCTCCTATGCTCTCACTCTCCTGGCCCCCTTCTCCTATGCTCTCACTCTCCTGGCCCCCTTCTCCTATGCTCTCACTCTCCTGGCCCCCTTCTCCTATGCTCTCACTCTCCTGGCCCCCTTCTCCTATGCTCTCACTCTCCTGGCCCCCTTCTCCTATGCTCTCACTCTCCTGGCCCCCTTCTCCTATGCTCTCACTCTCCTGGCCCCTTTCTCCTATGCTCTCACTCTCCTGGCCCCCTTCTCCTATGCTCTTGCTCTGCACTCGTCGTTCCCTTGCTCTGCACTCGTCGTTCCCTTGCTCTGCACTCGTCGTTCCCTTGCTCTGCACTCGTTGTTCCCTTGCTCTGCACTCCTCCTCACCCCCCTGTTTTCCCATCCCCCACTGTTCATCCTATTGCTTCCCCATCCCGCACTGCTCACCCCACTGTTTCCCCATCCCGCACTGTTCACCCCACTGGTTCCCATCCTGCACTGTTCACTCTCCGCTCTGGTCTGGATGAGGCTCGGAGAGCCATGCTGTCACACCTGCCATCCTGCCACCCCTCCCCACCCCGCCTTGCGCAGGTGGCCTTCTCTCGCTGCAGGGCGCCGTGAAGAGACCTTCTCACCCCGCCAAGATAGAGGCACATCTACAAGTAGGATATTTACAAGGACATGCACCTTGCTCTTGTTTTGTACGGTACTTGTGTGTGCGTGTGTCGATATATAAGAGCTGCGGGGTGGGTTTGGGCAAGGCTAGGCACGGGGTGGGTTTGGCCTAGCCTTGGCGCCTGCAAGCCCGGTTACTGTTCATGCCGCCCGGCTGCTGTTTATGCCGCCCGGTTACTGTTCCTGTCGCCTGCTTACCGTTCCAGCCGCCCGGTTATCGCTCCAGCCGCCTGGTTACCACTTCACCAGCCTGGTAATCGCTCCAGCTGCCCGGTTAATGTTCCAGCCGCCCAGTTACTGCTATGGCCACCTGGTTACTGTTGCTGCCGCCCAGCTGCTGTTCGTGCCGTCTTGTTACTGTTCCAGCCACCTTCTGACAACATGAACAGGAACAGGAACATGAACAGGAACAGGAACCTGAACAGGAACAGGAACAAGACCAGGACCAGGAACCTGAACAGGAACAGGACCAGGACCAGGACCAGGAACAGGAACAAGACCAGGACCAAGACCAGAACCAGAACCAGGAACAAGACCAGGACCAGGACCAGAACCAGGACCATGCCATGCCATGCCTGGGATAGATGCCATGCCAGGGATTGGGGGTTGGGGGGGGCTGTGGGGGGCTGTGAGGGGATTTGGAGGGGATTTGGGGGGTAGGGGGGCCTTAGGGGGGCCTTAGGGGGGCCTTAGGGGGGCCTTAGGGGGGCCTTAGGGGGGCCTTAGGGGGGCCTTAGGGGGGCCTTAGGGGGGCCTTAGGGGGGCCTTAGGGGGGCCTTAGGGGGGCCTTAGGGGGGCCTTAGGGGGGCCTTAGGGGGGCCTTAGGGGGGCCTTAGGGGGGCCTTAGGGGGGCCTTAGGGGGGCCTTAGGGGGGCCTTAGGGGGGCCTTAGGGGGGCCTTAGGGGGGCCTTAGGGGGGCCTTAGGGGGGCCTTAGGGGGGCCTTAGGGGGGCCTTAGCCTTGGGGGGGCATGGGGGGGTTTCATCTCCCCTCTCGCTATTGTCACTCTCTTTATTGTCCACGCTCTGCGTTATAGTACCCCTTGTTTGCTCTACGTATATCATACATGCAGTACAGTACTTGCAGGAAAACATGCAATCGGAGGCAGACAAACTGTTTGAACTCCGAGCGAGAGAGAAGAGGAGGCATATACACACAGATGATGAAAACATCCTGCAATCCCACCTTCCGAGCGGCAAGGATACACCGATACCTAGCAGCACGCTCTAGCACGGTGACATCCCCCAGTCCACCACAATAGAAGGGGTAGTAGACAGATGCTGGATGGGAGATGCAGTGGCATGGCGGATCAAGCTGCAGTGGCTGTGGCAAGTGCAGGAGCTGAGCAGAGTCCAAGCGTGGTAGACAGGTGCTCGACAGGAGACGACAAGGCAGATCAAGCTGCAGTGGCTGTGGCAAGTGCAGGAGCTGAGCAGAGTCCAAGCGTGGTAGACAGGTGCTCGACAGGAGACGACAAGGCAGATCAAGCTGCAGTGGCTGTGGCAAGTGCAGGAGCTGAGAAGAGTCCAAGCGTGGTAGACAGGTGCTCGACAGGAGACGACAAGGCAGATCAAGCTGCAGTGGCTGTGGCAAGAGCAGGAGCTGCATCCGATTCCTCATCACTTCCACCTCCCCCAGATGAGCCTCCCTTGCTTCCTCCCCCTTGGCCCTCCTCTCCCTTCCCTCCCGCCTTCTCTCCTCCCCCCTCGTTATCCTGCAACCACCGCTCCCACGAGCCCTCCCCTTGCAGTATGTGGGCCCCACACCCCGGTACCCCGTCCTCGCCCTCCTCCCCCTCGTGCCCCACCGATGCCTCGTCCAGCACCACTGCTTCCACCAGAGAGCTGGGGACCTGGTGGGGATGGCAGGGATGGCAGGGACGGGAAGATCAGGCTTGGAAGAGCAGGGATAGGAGGGATGGATGGATGATGGCAGAGTGCAGGTTACCCCGTCGCCCCCCTCCTCCCCCTCGTGCCCCACCGATGCCTTGTCCAACACAACTGCCTTCACTAGACTGCTGGGGACCTGGTGGGTTGGGGCATGAGATGACGGATGGGCGTGGAATGAGGGCAATGATCAAGGACACAGTTGCACACCGGCTTGCCCTCTTCCCCTTCCTCCCCCTCGTGCCCCATCGATGCCTCGTCCAGCACCACTGCTTCCACCAGATTGCTGGGGACCTGGGGAGTTGGGGTGGGAAGGACGGAATGGAGGGATGGATGGAGGAAAGCAGCGAGCAGGTTAACCCCACCTCCCCTCCGAGCCCCCACTGATACCTCATCCAACAACATTGCCTTCACAACAATACCAAGGTCCACTGGCGATCACAGTACCTCATACACAGCCTTGGTAACTGCCGTACATACCTCAAGCAGTGCCTCGGTAACTGCTGTACGTACCTCATACACAGCCTTAGTAACCGCCGTACCTTTTGTTAGCCTGTTACACCGTACCCCGTACATAGGCCTGGTGAGTATTGTATCTATTACATTGTACCTCATACAGAGGCTCAGTAACCGCCATACCTCATACATAGCCTCGGTAATCATCATACCTCATACACAGCCTTGGCAGCCACCATACCTCGTCATAGCCTCGGCAGTCGCCATACCTCGTACATAGCCTCGGCAGTCGCCATACCTCGTACATAGCCTCGGTGAGCAGCCCCTCCAGCAGCGATCGCAGCCCCCTGGCCCCCGTGTTTCGCGCTGCTGCTCTGCGCGCTATGGCCCTCACTGCCCCCTCCGTCATGTGCAAGCGGGCCTGAGTGGGTGGAGTGGAAGGGAGGGCAGGAAGAGATGAGATGGAGATGGCACGAGGTCATGGAAAAGGGCAAGAATGGGTGCTGTACTCCACGCAATGGCCCTCACTGCCTCCTCTGTCATGTGCAGACGGGCCTCAGTAAGAGGGGAGGGGAGGATTGGGAGAGCATGAGGACAAGGAAGAAGGCAACACTGAGTGCTATTCTGCATCCTGTAGCTTTGCAAATTGCACTTGCTTGCTAACCGAGAACTGTCTGGATTTCTTATTTATACAATAGAAAACACAATGCTCGTGACCCACAACCAGCAGCCCACACTGCACTCACGTTGTTCATGGCCAATAGCTTGGCGAATTGCTTGCTGAGGGCGTTCTTGGGCTTTAAGAGAACCTGCAAGTGAGAGCCACACCGAGAGGAGAGAACGAGTACGGAGAAGGAGCAGGAGGGTGGGGAGAGGGATAAGAATCGGGTAGTGTTTCAGGGGTTACAACCCGCGGGCCAAGAACTTCAACCTTAGGAAGCTTGGTTGGAGCGAGCAACACAATTGGCCAAGATTTTGGGTGCGAGGGCCAAACTCAACCAAGGTTAGGAAGGTTGAGGCAATTTGGGCCTTCTTGGCCCTCCGGTTTTAAGAACGTAAATTTTCTGGGCAGGGATTAGGAAAAGAAGATGGACCAAAATACGTGTCGAATCATGCAAGGAAAGCCACTCAGCTCTGTATATAGACATAATTCGAAGTGCATAAGAAAGGTCCTTTGCTTCCACCTGCATCAGTTGCCACCTGCACCAGTTGCCACCTGCACTACACCTACCTGCACATGTTGCTCTTTTGTGAAAGCACGCAGCCCCATGAGCACCAGCTGTTGTTACCAAAGCCTACACACACCAGTCATTACCCGCACCAGTCATTACCCGCACCAGTCATTACCCGCACCAGTCATTACCTGCACCAGTCATTACCAGCACCAGTCATTACCTGCACCAGTCATTACCTGCACCAGTCACTACCTGCACCAGTCATTACCAGCACCAGTCACTACCTGCACCAGTCATTACCTGCACCAGTCATTACCTGCACCAGTCATTACCTGCACCAGTCATTACCTGCACCAGTCATTACCTGCACCAGTCATTACCTGCACCAGTCATTACCTGCACCAGTCATTACCTGCACCAGTCACTACCTGCACCAGTCATTACCTGCACCAGTCATTACCTGCACCAGTCATTACCTGCACCAGTCACTACCTGCACCAGTCATTACCTGCACAAGTCACTACCTGCATCAGTCATTACCTGCACCAGTCATTACCTGCACCAGTCATTACCTGCACCAGTCATTACCTGCACCAGTCACTACCTGCACCAGTCATTACCTGCACCAGTCATTACCTGCACCAGTCACTACCTGCACCAGTCACTACCTGCACCAGTCATTACCTGCACAAGTCACTACCTGCATCAGTCATTACCTGCACCAGTCATTACCTGCACCAGTCATTACCTGCACCAGTCATTACCTGCACCAGTCATTACCTGCACGAGTTGCTCCTCTGTGAGCGCATGCAGCCCCACCAGCACGGGGAATCGCCCCACAAACTCAGGGATGAGCCCATAGGCTATCAGATCCGTGCTCTCTGCCTGCCGTTCCAGAGGGGTAGGGAGGGGTGGGGACGGGTGGGGAGGGATGTTGAACGATGGGGAGGGAGGATCTGGAGGGGTATAACAATAACACAAGGAATCGCCCCACAAACTCGGGGACGAGCCTGTAGGCTACCCGATCTGTGCTCTCTGAGTGCAGTTGATGAGCAAAAAAAGACGGGGGGGGGGGGGGGGGGGGGGGGGGGAGATACGGGAATTGCGGGTAGAGAGACAACTTTTGAGGCGCCTCAAAAGTGCTCTCTGCGAGCCGTTGATACAAAAAAAGGGGGGAAGGGGGTTTGCGGGGTGGCGGGGAAAGGATGGTTGAAGGAAGAGCACGCATCAACTGCAGCAGGTGGCTTATAGGACAGTGAAAAGCAGCTCTCAAAAGCAGCACGCCCACAAGCACACACAGCAAGTGTTGCAAGCATGGATCGCTGGCACACGCGCTAAAACAATGACAAAACAAAACAAAACAAAACAAAACCCAACCAAACAATCAAACCAACAAACAAATCAACCAAAAAAACAAACAAACAAACCAACGGTATAGAGTTAGCACTCACCGATTGCAGCAGCGAGCCGGCAGTGCGGGCGTCAAGCACCGATCGGTTGCGCAGCGATGCGCGCACGGGGGCCCCGAAGCCGATGGATGACTTGTGCTTCCTGCACGCAGCAAGGTAATATTGGGATTTGAGTCATGGAATGCAGTCAGTCTCATGTCTGCTTGCAATGATTGCAGCAATGTCACACGGGGGCCCCGAAGCCGATTGATGACTTGCGCTTCCTGCAACAAATGAATGGTAATAGAGAGAGTCAAGACATGCAGTCAAGACAACATTGTATGTTCTTGCAGTGCTTGCAGAGTTGCGCGCTTAGGAGCTCTGAGGGCTAGCATAGCACGGCCAACGAAAGGCAGGAGATACATTCCTAACATTGACTGCAGACAATCAGACCGATTCAAACCGCAGTCAATGTTAGAGTCAAACTGCAGACAATTATTGAAAGTCGTTTCTAACATGTGGGTGGGTCATCAGAGTAGGCAAAGTAGTTAAGATGGGACTGCATTCCTGACATTGCCTGCATACACAGTTGTAGCACACACTGCTGCGGCGAAGACAATCGCACTGAAAGGCGAGAAACGGTGGCTTCATTTTCCCTGCCCCAAAACCATGGTTGCGCACCTTCAGTGCGATTGTCTTTTCTTCGATTTTTTTTTTTTAGGTCATAACTGACGACAGCAGACGTATCAGTGAGTGCATTTCGAGTCAGCAAATTTTGAAGGAATTCTCAAAAACCTGACAATAGCAGACGTATCAGTGAGTGCATTTTGAGTCAGCAAATGTTTTGAGAAATCTCAAAAACCTGACGATAGCAGACGTATCAGTGAGTGCATTTTGAGTCAGCAAAAGCAGCCTCCGCCTCACCTCTCTGCAATCGTCTTTTCCAGATCCACGAATGCCCCTCCACAGATGAAGAGAATGTTCTGTGTGTCCAGCTGGCGGGGTGGGATAAGGGGAAGCATTGGGGTGGATGGGGCATCGGGCATGTGGCTTGGGGCGTGGGGGTGGGAATAGCAGGCAGCGGCAGTGGAGGGCAGATGAAGAGAATGTTCTGTGTGTCCAGCTGGTGGGTTGGGAGGGGAAAGGCAAAGTCAAGTATGGGAAAGGGGGTATTGGGCTGGGAATGGCTGGCACGGCAAGCAACAGAGGTGAGGGTTGATGAAGAGTATGTCTTGTGTGTCAACCTGGTGGGATGGGTGGGGCAAAGAAAGGGGAGGTATGCGAGAGGGGAATGGCAGGCAGTAAGCATGAACGGAGACAACTCCTGACGCGCCTCAAAAGTTGGAATAAGAGGTGGTAGACATACTCTTCATCGACCCTCACCTCTGTTGAGGTAAATTCCAAGGGGATGAAGGTCGCTAGCCATGCTAACAAACACACTCCGACTTGGAATGCGCCTCAAACGTATCTAGCCATTGAGCAGAAACCCTTTCCGCTCTGTGTGATATTCGTTGTGATTTCCAGGCATTCGGCACAGAAACACCCGGTATCGTTGTTCTACCCCCGTACCCCTGCACCCCTGCAACCCTCGCACTCCGTGTTTGAAGAAGTGTTTTGAGACGTCTCAAAACAGAAACACCCGGTATCGTTGTTCTACCCCCGTACCCCTGCACCCCTGCAACCCTCGCACTCCCGCACCCCTGTAGCCCGTACCTGTATGAACTCGCCTCTTGGATTCTTCCTCCCTGTTTTCTCTGGCACATTGATCACCTGTACCCGGGAGAAGAGGGGAGGAGCAGGGGGAAGACCGGCACATGAGACTTACAAGGCGCCCTAAATCTCTGAAGGACTTCCTCCCTGTTTTCTCTGGCACATCAATCACCTGCACCCAGGGCCCAGGGGGAGTGAGAAGATCCGCTCCGCACCAGTAGGTAGAGGGACACACACGTGTGACAAACGGGCTCATGGATGCTCACACCACCCTCACAGCGCCCCTCAGCATCCTCAACAACGGCGGCCGCACGCCCTCCCCTGCCACATCTCAAACGCCAATAGACCTGTGTCTCTCATCCCACCGTCCTTCAAACCAGCTCACATCATATCCCCTTACAGCCCACCCCTTCCCCCCACTCACAGCGCCCTCGAGCATTCTCAACAGCGCCTGCTGCACGCCCTCCCCTGACACGTCCCTCCCATCCCGCCTCCTCCAACCTCCTCACATACTCCCATACCCTCCCTCCCCCCCCCCCTTCTTTACTCACAGCGCCCTCGAGCATCCTCAAAAGCGCCTGCTGCACGCCCTCCCCTGACACGTCCCGTGTGCTCGTGATGCCCTCTGCCTGTGCAGTCATACAGGGCGCGGAGATGAGAGAGGGGGGAGAGAGGAATCAGTAAGACACTTATTGGATAAGACACTCCAACACGCCTTTCCCTGACACGTCCCGTGTGCTCGTGATGCCCTCTGCCTGTCCAGGCACGCACAGAGGGGAGAGCGGGGGCTGTCCAGATTAAGCTCATGTTTTTAGTGCGCGTGTCAATCTCATCTATGTTTACAATGCCCTTCTGCGCTGCTGCTCTGGTGGGGTGGGGAGCACCTACTTAGCGCCAGTGCCGCTAGTGCCCCTAGTGCTGCTAGCAAGCCTACCTTCTTGGTAAGCTTGTCGATCTCGTCGATATACACGATCCCTGCTGCGCTGCTGCTTTAGTGGGGGGGGGTTGCATCTCCTAGTGCCCGTGCAGCTAGTGCCGCTAGTGCTGCTAGCGAGCCCACCTTCTTGGTAAGCTTGTCGATCTCGTCGATATACACGATGCCCTGCTGCGCTGCTGACACACTGAAATTGGCGCTCTGCGTAAGACAAATGGACAGTCACGCACACACACACACCACCATGGGAATCACACACAGAACAGATAGTCATGAACATGCAAGCATGCACATCAGGAGCAAAATGAATGTAACTTGTAAGGAGCAGTTGAGCTACGTGAAGCCACCCGGGGTTGGGACCCGGGTGCAGCAACCCCTACCCTCACCTCCACTTGTAGGTGCAGCAACTTGTAAAATATCATCTCCGCGTCCTCTGCACGACAAGCTAACACCTCTACTGACCCGTCTCACCTCTTCCAAACCCCCTCACCTGCAGCAGCTTATAGAGAATCATCTCCACGTCCTCTCCCACATACCCCGCCTGCACGAGGAGCAGAAACACTAACATAACATAACCCCCCCACCCCCCACTCCCTGTCCCAACCCCAACAACCCCTTCTGTCCCTCACCTGCAGCAGCTTATAGAGAATCATCTCCACGTCCTCTCCCACATAACCAGCCTGCACGACAAACAGCACCAGAGAATGAGAAATAGGTGAGCGTTGGCTCAGGAAACACAGTTCTAGTAGAAAGCCCGTTGTCCTGCATGCCACTGTAACGAAGTGACCTTTGAGGCGAATCACGAGTCATCGTGTGGGAATTGGCTCAAGAGCAACGGTGATAGTAATAATATGCCCCTTGTCACGCACTCCCTAAGTGGCATACCATGACACGGGAGAGTTAACCCTACTGGTTAACCATACTGGTGAACTCTCCCGTGTGAAAGAGTGTGGAAACCAGGCTGTATCCAACCTGAGAATCAGAGAGACGCAGCTGAGTGTGGAAGTTGATGAGAGTGGCGGTATGAGACGCAGCTGGGTGTGGAAGTTGATGAGAGTGGCGGTATGAGACGCAGCTGGGTGTGGAAGTTGATGAGAGTGGCGGTATGAGACGCAGCTGGGTGTGGAAGTTGATGAGAGTGGCGGTATGAGACGCAGCTGGGTGTGGAAGTTGATGAGAGTGGCGGTATGAGACGCAGCTGGGTGTGGAAGTTGATGAGAGTGGCGGTATGAGACGCAGCTGGGTGTGGAAGTTGATGAGAGTGGCGGTATGAGACGCAGCTGGGTGTGGAAGTTGATGAGAGTGGCGGTATGAGACGCAGCTGGGTGTGGAAGTTGATGAGAGTGGCGGTATGAGACGCAGCTGGGTGTGGAAGTTGATGAGAGTGGCGGTATGAGACGCAGCTGGGTGTGGAAGTTGATGAGAGTGGCGGTATGAGACGCAGCTGGGTGTGGAAGTTGATGAGAGTGGCGGTATGAGACGCAGCTGGGTGAGAGTGGCCTTTGAGTCAATTAAGAGTCACCTCGTTAAAGGCGCACCTGAGTGAGAGTGGTGGCATCAGCAATGGCGAATGGCACGTTGACAAACCGAGCCAGAGTCTTGGCCAGTAGGGTCTTGCCTGCACGCGTTGGGGGGGGGGAGGGGATAGTCACCCACCAGTGTGTGGGGGGAGGGGACTTTTTTGAGTCGACTCAAAAATCAGCAATGGCGAATGGCACGTTGACAAACCGAGCCAGAGTCTTGGCCAGTAGGGTCTTGCCTGCACGCGTTGGGGGGGGGGAGGGGATAGTCACCCACCAGTGTGTGGGGGGAGGGGACTTTTTTGAGTCGACTCAAAAATCAGCAATGGCGAATGGCACGTTGACAAACCGCGCCAGAGTCTTGGCCAGTAGGGTCTTGCCTGCATGCACTGCACCCAAGGGACAGCAGCGGTTGAAATACCGCCCGCAAAGAATAAGGTAGGGAGTGGCCTGGGATGTTGACCACATTGCCATCACAGGCCGGACAGGCGCGGAGCGGGTAGGGAGTGGGCGGATGGAGTGGAGCCGATAAGGTGAGTTGACAGGTGGGGAGTGGGATAAGTTGAGTGGAGAGAGACACACGCGTGAGCGAGATGAGAAGCACGTTGCTCATGAGACCGCTGGGCGACAGGAAGGCAAGAACGCATACACGCATTCATGAGCCTGTTAAAATCTTCCCTCCAATAAACCCTCTGGGCAGCCCTTGCTTGACAGGCGATAGTACCTGAACAGCTGTATGCGAGCGACATGATCGGGGCCCGTGCGAGGGACCCATGTGTCAGTCAGTCGGGCCCATCGAGTTTTGAGACGACACGACGCCTGAACCCGTCCAAACACCTACTGCTTCCGATGGGCTGCATCCAACCACCCACCCACCAGAGCCTGTGGGTCCCTCCCATGAGCACCACGTTGCTCTTCCCCACCTGCACCTCGTCCCATGCTTGCCCTACCCTATGCTATTCCGCTGCTCCCATGCGGCCCTGCCCCCCGTATGCTGCAGTGGTGATTCTTGCACCCACCTGAACCCGTGGGACCCATCAGCAGCACGTTGCTCTTCTCCACCTCCACCTCGTCCTCCTCACCGCCCCCCACCAGGTTCTCGCACGCCCTGCAGGGGGGAAGAGAGGTGGAAGAGAGGGCGACGGGGGGCATAGGGAGAGGGTAGGGAGTGAGGGGCACGTTGCTCTTATCCACCATGGGGGTGAGCAAGAACAGAAGTGAGTGAGTGAGGGAGGGCGGACAGTGGGCAAAATGTGGAGCAAGCCTAATCTCTTTCCCCCATGTGAGGTGTAGAAAAGGGGATCGTTCAGGTAGATGACCGGTCACTCCCTCTCCCTCTCCCTCTTAATCCTTGCTTGAATCACTTTAAAGAACATTTCCTCTCCCTCTCCATCCCTCACCACACACAGCACACAGCCCCTCTCCCACTTCCTCTCCTCCCCCTCTCACCCCTCTGAACCTCCTCTCGCCTTTTTTTTACCCCTTCTCACCCCTCTGGCAGGTTGGCAAGTCTTTCCCGCTTCTGGTTTTCAAGAAAGATGCGCTTGTAGTGATTGTAAACTGCCACTGCCAAAACCTGCAGCAAAGGGTAGCATACGGGGATCGGAAAGGGCTCGTAACGAAATGAGCTTATAGAGAAGATGCGCTCGTAGTGGGTACACCACCGCCACTGCAAACATTCGGTTACAAATAAAATCAAAAGAAGAAGAAAAAATACTGCTCTTAGCGAGTCTGTGACTGTAAACCTGTTACACCACCAGCCTAACAGTAACTGCCACGTCACCAGCACCCGCTCACCTTTTTCGCATTATCCTGCCCGATCACAAATTCATCCAGAGCTGCCCGGATCTGCTTGGGCGTGGGCAGATTCTCCCCAGATTCGCCCCTCCCCAGTTGTGCTCTGTCCCGTCCTCCCCTCCCCCTGCCGCCCCAAAACACGGCACATGCCCCTCCCTCCCCTCTCGCCCTTCCCGCCCTTCCCGCCCCTCCCTCCCCTCCCCTCCCCCGCTCTGCTGCCCCCTCCCCCGCTTCTCCCCCGCACCCGCGCCAGGCGCGGGGGGGATCTGCGTGGGCGCGGCCAGGGGGGACGGGGGCGGAGGCGGGGCGGGGGGGCCTCTGGGGGCGTGCAGGAGGGGGGAGGAGAAGCTAGGGGGATACGCGCTGGCGCTGCTTCCGCCACCGCCAGGGCTTCTATTCCTTCCGCTGCTGCCCACCTGCTGCCCCTCACTCCGCCCCTGCCCCTGCCTTTGCGCTTTCTTTTCTCCCCCCGCGCCTGCCTGTCCCTGCCCCTGCTGCCCCTGTCCCTGCGCCCACGGGTGCCCCCCCCACCCCTGCAAACTCGCCTTGAACCGATTCACATACTCCTCCCGCGCATCCCTCCGCGCGCTCCCCCCTTCCCCCCCGCTCGCCCCGCCCATCATCCCGTCCAGCTCGCTGCGCGCAGACCTGCCGCCCGGGCGGCCGTCTTGGCGGCTAAGTTGCCGCCCAAAGCGGGACCACTGCCACGCGTCAGAGGCGGGGGGCTCGGGGGGAGTGACGGCGGAAAGGGGGGAGACATGTTTCCAGTCCGCTTCATACCAGTCCGCCTCCACAAACTCCCCCACTCTCGCGCCCCCCCCCCGGCCTTGCCCTTCCCCAATCCTTCCCCCTTCCCCCCGCTTGCGCACTGCCCTTCCGCCGTCACCTGCGGCTGCCCCTCTTCTTTCCCCTTCCGCCCATTCTCCGCCTCCCCTGTCCCTCTCGCCACCGGCCTGTCGGTGAATCGCTGGCATTGGCGGCAGAACAGCACCGCGCGCCCGCTCGTGCGCGCCTCCGCCGCGGACATGGGCGGAGATAGCGCGGACGCGGACGGGGAGGAGGGGGAATGGGGGAAGGCAAGCGCGGGGAAAGAGAGGAGCGAGAGGGGCGCGCGGCAGTTGGGGCACAGCAGCTCCTCGTCCCCGCGCCCGCTCCCCCCTCCGCCTCCGTCACCCGCTCCCGCCGCTCCGCCACCCCCGGCAACCACACCGTCGCTTCCGCCTCCCCGCACACCAGCCCCGCCCTCCCCCCCATCCCCGCCCGCTCTCTCCGCCGTCGCCGCTATTTAGATATATTAGATCAGCGACAGCGAGCTAACGAGCGACACTTTAGGTATATTAGATCAGCGACAGCGAGGAAACGCCACATGAGCGCGTATATCAGTCCAAACGGGCAAATAAGGGCTGCGACTACTACTGCTCGCTGCTACTGCTAGTACTAGGGCGCCTTGTTTTCGGAAACCTAAATTTCCAACTCATGGAAACAAACCTAACAGCGCGACACAAAATACTCGATAGGAAACGCTGGCGTTTAAGTTACGCGAATGAACCAATAATAGTAGCGACTGAGTCGACGCGAAGTGCCACAAGTACTACTAGTACCTGCTATACTACTACTAATTCTGCTAGCGACTAGTGCAATTATACTACTGCTACCGTACTAACAATGATGGGCTATGGAGGGTGGGTGGGTGGTGGTATAAGGCTGAAGTGAGAGGGTGGATCACTGTAGTGAACGAAGGAATCGGATCTTGGCAGGCAGCGTTGGCTTGCTCCCTTTGTTCTGTGAACCGATATTTTCCACACGGTTGAAAACTGTGTAACCGTTTTCGACCGTTTCAGCCAAGCGCGCTGAATGGAATGGCTCAGCCGACGGGACACGTGGACTGCGCCTGGGGTTGAACTGCCCATTGCCCAACTGTACCAAGCACAGCCCTCTGTGAAGCTCGCACGAACCATCCAGTCTGCGCAGAACAGACAGGACGGGCTCGATCAGGTTTTGGCGTTTCTCGTCGACGAGCACTGCGGCAGTACAGTGCGAGTACGGCTGGGTGGGTGAGGTCACAAATGAGGCGAGAAATAATACACTCACGATTTGCGAATCTGCTTTGTCGACCTACCGGGTGGAAATCACTACCGGGTTAAACAAATAGCTTCAGTTTTCGGGCGTCATCTCAGTCAAAAGGCAAGCAGAGTGGCGAAACAAAATTTGTTTTAGCAAAACACCGATCGTGCTTTGCAGAGTGGCCAAGGGACTGGTGCGAAATACATACACCCTACATTACGAGTTTACTGGTGCTACTAGTGCTACTACGACGAGCTGGCGAGGGGTGGTGCTAGGTGGCGCAATGAAGGTGATGTGAGCGGGTGCTTTGGTGGAAGTGTTGTGGTGAATCTGGGGTCAAGTTCGGGGAGTGTTTCATTGCAGACGTGGTTTGTGAAACCCGAGTTCTTATCTCTCAGTTGAGAACGGTCAAACTGTTTCAAAAATGTTTAGCCTAGCGGAGTGAATCGATACGCGACAAATGCTTCAAGCGGGAGAATGTACCGCGCCCTACGGAGTGTTCACCTGTTTGTGCAGAGTCGAGCTTCAAGCTCAAACAGTTCCTAGCCGTCATGTACAGTGAAGAAACAAGCAGGGTAGGAGGGGTTGGGCTGGGTGGCGGACACTCGCTACAGTTCGGGCACACCTGCATTGCCCAGCAGTCGTAAGCGCCTACGCTGGCAACCCACCCCAAGCGCAAAAACCCATGCCCATTCGTTTTGTTTTTGAACCTGCTGCTGAGCTTGAGGCTCGCCTTCCGCCCAGAGAACGAAAAGGCTTGAGGGTGGAGTTGGGAAGGGGCCAAATCTCGTGCTTAAAAATGCAAGGAGTGGCGAAAAAAAACCCTGGGATGCAAAACACCAGACGGTGCTGTGACGGCATATATTTACATCCAAGCCGTCTACAGTACAAACCAAAGGCTGGTTCCGCCCAGAAACCAAAGGCTGGGCGAGCACCAGGTGGGTTGATCAAACGTCACTATTTGCTGGCATGGCAACGCACCGACACGAAAATCGATATTCAGGGGTTTCGGTACGTTACACAGCGGTTTAGGGAAAATGTTTGAGCAAAAAGAATGGTATCCAAAGGTCCCCACCACACTCCCCCATTCGTGGAATGCTGGAGCAAGACTTCAGCAGGCCAATGCGGATTTCACTGCTGAATACAGACCAAAATTTTCAACGGCCTGGATCGTGCCACATCATTTTCACACACCCTCACCTTCCCAAGTGTACAGAGTGAACTGTATCCCTCCCACCACTCGCACCCCTGCTGATTTGCGAGCACGGGTGGTCGTCTGCTGCAATCTGACGGTTCACGATTCGCGAGCTTCAGAAGGGATTACGAGATTCAGGGCGCGGTACATGTGTCTGTCTACAGAAAATTTCACGATTAACACAGTGCGCGCGCCTAAAACACTTGGAAAAATGTTTTACCGTTCTGAACCGTGTGCACCGAGTCAGGGTTTCAGAAACAAAAGAGGGAGCAAACGCTGCCTCAGATCCATCCACACTTATCCTTTCCGCTGAGGAGCCGACCCCCTCCCCCACATCAGCTTTATCGCACCACCGTCGCTAGTAGCAGTAGCACTTCGTCGTATTAGCTAGTAGTAGATAATAGTATCATTCAAAGCCCGCTTTCTCGTTCTCTGAAAAGGCACCGACTTCCGCTAATCACACTCATCACACACCGTCGACAGCGGTAGTAGCACCAGTATTAGTAAGTAGTAGTCGTACAAATCTTGCGTTAATAATGAACGTGATCCTATGCATGCGAAATGGTTACGACAGCCACCGCCAGACGACGGCCTGGGCTTAGCGGCGTGGTTTAAATCCTCGTTCGACGGGAGCCTTTCGCGGTCGTTTAAATTACCGCCATTAGTTTCAAACTAGGTGAAATGTCATGCGTGCCGTTCTTGTCGGGCTCAGCGGAGCAGGCGGCAAGCGAGGCTGCCAAGAAGCGCGCGCGCTGAGAAAATCACGCCTCTCGTTCGTCACCGCGGCCCGTCCTCTCGCGTTGCTACGTTGCTACTGCCGCTGCTTGTTCAAAACGACTTAGGATTGGAGAGCATGGCAGAAATCACCAGCTTCTCATGCTTCATCATGCGAGTGCTGGACTGGCTGGTGGCCATCATGATGGCATGGCAGCAAAGCACCAGGCTATGGGTATCTGTGTGGATGCAGCGTCAACTAAGACTGAAAAGCACCACCCAATGTGTTTCGGCCTTTACCTTCCCTTGCTCCTGGGCTCGCAACCGCTGCCCACTCCTCACTTCCCTTGCTCCCTCCCGTCACGGGGTCCACTCACCCCTCGCTATCCAAACCTTTCCCCTCTCTCCCTTCCCTATGCAGTTTGGTCATGTTAAAACACACCCTTCTGCTGCTGTTGCTTCTGTTGGGGCTGTTTGCTGCTGTTGCTTCTGGTCGGTCCGTCACTGCTTGCTTGCTACTACTGCTGCCGTCACTGCTTGCTTGCTACTACTGCTGCCATCACTGCTTGCTTTCTATTGCTGCTGCCATCACTGCTTGCTTTCTACTGTGCTGCCATCACTGCTTGCTTGCTACTACTGCTGCCATCACTGCTTGCTTTCTACTGTGCTGCCATCACTGCTTGCTTGCTACTGCTGCTGCCATCACTGCTTGCTTGCTACTGCTGCTGCCATCACTGCTTGCTTTCTACTGCTGCTGCCATCACTGCTTGCTTTCTACTGCTGCTGCCATCACTGCTTGCTTGCTACTGCTGCTGCCATCACTGCTTGCTTGCTACTGCTGCTGCCATCACTGCTTGCTTGCTACTGCTGCTGCCGTCACTGCTTGCTTTCTACTGCTGCTGCCATCACTGCTTGTTTGCTACTGCTGCTGCCATCACTGCTTGCTTGCTACTGCTGCTGCCATCACTGCTTGCTTGCTACTGCTGCTGCCATCACTGCTTGTTTGCTACTGCTGCTGCCATCACTGCTTGCTTTCTACTGCTGCTGCCATCACTGCTTGCTTTCTACTGCTGCTGCCATCACTGCTTGCTTTCTACTGCTGCTGCCGTCACTGCTTGCTTGCTACTGCTGCTGCCTTCACTGCTTGTTTGCTACTGCTGCTGCCGTCACTGCTTGCTTGCTACTGCTGCTGCCTTCACTGCTTGCTTGCTACTGCTGCTGCCATCACTGCTTGCTTGCTACTGCTGCTGCCATCACTGCTTGCTACTGCTGCTGCCATCACTGCTTGCTTGCTACTGCTGCTGCCATCACTGCTTGCTTGCTACTGCTGCTGCCATCACTGCTTGCTTGCTACTGCTGCTGCCATCACTGCTTGCTTGCTACTGCTGCTGCCATCACTGCTTGCTTGCTACTGCTGCTGCCATCACTGCTTGCTTGCTACTGCTGCTGCCATCACTGCTTGCTTGCTACTGCTGCTGCCATCACTGCTTGCTTGCTACTGCTGCTGCCATCACTGCTTGCTTGCTACTGCTGCTGCCATCACTGCTTGCTTGCTACTGCTGCTGCCATCACTGCTTGCTTGCTACTGCTGCTGCCATCACTGCTTGCTTGCTACTGCTGCTGCCATCACTGCTTGCTTGCTACTGCTGCTGCCATCACTGCTTGCTTGCTACTGCTGCTGCCATCACTGCTTGCTTGCTACTGCTGCTGCCATCACTGCTTGCTTGCTACTGCTGCTGCCATCACTGCTTGCTTGCTACTGCTGCTGCCATCACTGCTTGCTTGCTACTGCTGCTGCCATCACTGCTTGCTTGCTACTGCTGCTGCCATCACTGCTTGCTTGCTACTGCTGCTGCCATCACTGCTTGCTTGCTACTGCTGCTGCCATCACTGCTCGTTTGCTACTGCTGCTGCCGTCACTGCTTGCTTTCTACTGCTGCTGCCATCACTGCTTGCTTGCTACTGCTGCTGCCGTCACTGCTTGCTTTCTACTGCTGCTGC